GGAGGCAGTGCGGTTGGCGCAGGACAGAGCAGGGTTTAGGGCTGTTGTGCATAGGGTCGCTATGAGTCACAAACGACTCGATGGCACATAACAACAACAATAACAACAACATGTCATTTATTACTGCTCTCATTTTTAAAATTTCAGGTGTTTTAGAGGGTGTCAGGTTTTGTTGCTATTCTTTCTCCATTTGTTGGAGATATTGGATTAGAGGTTCAATGATCATTTTTCCCTGCCTTTTGATATGTTTACTGCTTTGGCCATTTCCCAAAGGTTTTAGTAAGTGGTTTTTAATTTTTCAGGAAACTTTTTAATTTTATCTTTTATTTCCTCTAATACCCAGTCATGGTCAAGCAAGGTGTTGTTCAGCTTCCAAATGTATGGCTTTTTTGCCTTTATCCATTTGCTATTAATTTCTAACCTTGTAGTATTGTGGTCTCAGAAAATGCTTTGTATTATTTCTGTGTTTGTGAATTTATTGGTGCTTGTCTTTTGACCTAAAATGTGAGCTTTCTGGAGAATGTTTCATGCACATTGGAGAAGGTATACTGTGATTTTGAGGGGTACATTAGGCTATAAATATCTATGAAATCGAGTTGGTTTATTACGTGGTTTAATTCTTGAGCATCTTTGTTGAGTTTTTTTCTGGTAGTTCTATTTTTTCTTCAGAGTGTTGTATTGAAGTCTTCAACTATTATACTAGTGTTATCTACATAAATTATTTCAGAAAACAGAAAAAGATGGAATTCTCCCAGACTAATTCTATGAAACAAACATATCCTTGACATCAAAGCCAAGAAAGGGCACCACCAAAACAGAAAACTATAGGCCAAGATCTCTCATGAACATAGATGCAAAAATCCTGAATAAAATTCTGGCCAATAGAATTCAATGATACATCAAAGAAATAATTCACCATGATCAAGTGGGATTGACAACAGGTATGCAAGGATGGTTCAACATAAGAAAAACTATTAATTTATCACATTGAGAAAGCAAAGAACAAGAACCACATGATCCTATCAATTGATGCAGAAAAGGCCTTTGACAAAGTCCAACACCCTTTCCTGATTAAAACATTCCAAAAAAATAGGATTAGAGGGGAATTTCTTCAATATAGTAAAAAGTATCTATGCAAACCTGAGAACCAACATTGTTCTCAATGGAGAGATGTTAAAGGCATTCCCTTTAAGAACAGGAGCTAGGCAAGGATGCCCACTATCACCTCTTTTATTCAGTATTTATTAGAATCCTTAGTAATAGCAATAAGAGAAGAGAAGGAAATAAGAGGTATCCAAATTGGCAAAGAGGAGGTAAAATTATCTCTGTATGCAGATGATATGATAGTATACTTAGAAAACCCTAACAACTCGGGAAGAAAACTATTGATCATTGTTGGCCAATTCAGCAAAGTAGCAGGATTCAAGATCAACATACACAAATCAGTTGGATTTCTCCACAGTGACAAATACATAGCTGGAGCTGAGAAAAACAATACCCTTCACAATAGCTAATCACAAGATTAAATAATTAGGAGTGAACCTAAGCAGAAGCTCAAAGGATCTGTTCAAAGAAAATTACAAAACACTACTACAAGAAATAAAAAGAGAACTGGAGAGGTGGAAATATATCCCTTGCTCATGGATAGGAAGACTCAATATTGTAAAAATGGCAATACTACCAAAGACAATTTACACTTTTAATGCAATCCCAATACAAATGCCAATCCCATTCTTCAACAAGATGGAAAAGGCAATCTCCAGTTTCATTTGGAATGGAAAGAAGCCCCTAATAAGCAAAGCACTCCTTAAAAATAGAAAAAAGGTAGGAGGCATCTCACTCTGATTTCAAATCCTACTACACTGCCGTGTTGGTTAAGATAGGATGGTACGGGTACAATGACAGACACATAGATCAATGGAATAGAATTGAGAACCTGAAAGTCAATTCATCTATCTACGGTCAACTGATTTTTGACAAGGAGATGAAATCAGTTAAGTGGGGAAATGACAGCCTTTTAAACAAATGTTGTAGACAAAATTGGAAAACTATTTGCAAAAGACTCAAGCAAGATCAACACCTCACTCCATACACAAAAACCAACTCTACATGGATCATGGACCTAGGACTAAAACCACGGACTATAAACTTCATTAAAGGAAAGCTTGAGATATCATCTCACCCTAATAAGAATAGCAAAGTTTAACAGAGTAGCAAACAACAAATGCTGGCGAGATTGTGGAGAAACTGGAACCTTATTCACTGTTGTTGGGCTGCACTGAAAAACAAGGAACTCATGCAATATTGTTCAAAATGGGTGACCCTGGAGGACATTATGCTGAGTGAAATATTTCAGTCACAAAAGGACAAATACTGCATAGTGTCACTGTTGTAGAATGGGACTGACATAAGAGTTAGGGTGAGACTGAGAAAAATTGGATAAATTATGTATACTTCATTGAAACAGATAAGGGAGAGAACAGTTTAAAAGTGATATAGGATTAGGTATTATGGTCATGACAAGAGTCCAGAATGAAGGCTGCATAGTGGAGTGTACTCGGGGGAGGGGAGATTGTACACCAATGAAAAAAATTTACTTTTCAAAGAGAAGAGCAAACTGGAGGGGAGGAGTGGGCAGGGAGAAAAACGCAACACGCAACAATGAATGAATGGAAATCCAAAAATGTTCATTGAAATTAGTAAAATAAAATTTAAAAAAAATTTGATTCCTGTGTATTTGATTTAACCTTTTTAGCTTTAATTTGTAACTGCACATGGTCTATTCTGCAATCAGCACCTGGCCTAGTTTTCACTGCTGATATTGATCTTCTCCAAAGGTTCCTTCCACATATGTAATGAGATTCCAGTGCATCCCACTCAGTGAAATCTATGTGTATAACCTGAATATATGTTTCTTATAAAAGGTATTTGTTATGAGCAAATCATTGATTGTACATAATTCTGTCATTCTATCCCCAGCCTCATTTGTGTCACCAAGTCTATGTTTTCTGACTACTGATTTTTCTTCCTGGTTCCCAACTTTTGTATTCCAGACAACCATTATTATTAATGAATCTTGATTGCATGTTCAATTGATTTCTGACTGCAAAGAAATCTTCTCTTTCCTCCTTTTGGCTCCAGTTGTTGGAATACAAATTTGAATGATAGTAGTATTAACAGGTCTTCTTTGTTTACATATGGATATTATCCTGTCATTCACAATATTGTATTTCAAGATGGATCTAGAAATGATCTTTTTTCCCCCTCACCTTTTCATCTCCAGTGTAGTAGATCATATGATCATTTGATACAAAATGTCTCTTACCAATCCATCTCATTTTGCCAATATCTAATGTCATTATTTATGTGTTCCATTTCTTTTTAAAGATGTCCAGTTTTTCTGCTTTTCACATTCCACATGGCACTCATTATTTTCTGCTTACAACTGTCCTCCTCCTTTTTGTTTCCAAATTTGATGGCTCAGCCTCAGTTTCCATATCTGTTATTCTACTCTGTGTGTGCTCTATCATACATGGGGCTTCCCAAGACCTGCATGTGTGTCTTGTCCCTTCCCTTTCCCTGTTATTAGCATCATTTGTGCTCCCTCCTACCCCACTCAGCACCTCCCTTCCCACCTCCAGCAGCCCTTTGATATGACAGCTTAGGCCACAAGTCACTTCTGTGATGTCTTGCACCTCACAATGTTGGTAGAGGGGTTAAAATCTTTATGGTATATTAATGAAAAAAAATCCCTTGTTTTCTGGGAGGAGTTAAAGGTTCTATTACATTAATATTATATGAAATAGTTTTGAGTTACAAAGTTGAGCTTCAGATACTGTGATGTTTACCTAAGAGTTAGCTTTTTTAGCCATTAGTTAGCCCCCTTTGGTCTCGAGCTACCTTAACTGCAGACGCATGATCTTGCAAATCAGCATGGTCTTACAAACCATTAATAGGTGAGGGACTAGGATAAGAGAAAAAGTGAGTTTACACACATGGGGCAGAAAGACTTGGAGCAAGCAAGAGTTGAGGGAGACTGGAGCTGACCCTTTTGGTGAGACCCTGGTGATGGTACTGGAGAGACTGTGGCGTTGCTAGGGAGAAACTATGGTATGGTGTAAGCAGAGGAGCCTTGAGATAAAGGCCACAGTTAAAGGTGTTTGCTATTCTTACTGATGATGGAAGGAGAAGCTGAGTTATAACTTGCTGGATGCTTGAAGGCAAATATTGCTGGATAATTTGGATTTGACTGCTGATCTGAAACCAGAGCCCGGACTAGTTGAGAAAGTGTTCCTTGGAATTTCTTGGCTAAAACTTGGGTTTATTCTGGGTGATATTCTTTGCCTCCCCTGCTTTCTAACTGACTTCTCTAATCAACCCCATAGTCAATATCATAACTGTGAGTCTGAGAGTCAGCAACGAATAAACTAAATTCTTGCTGTTGGTGTGGCTCTAGCAGCACCATGGGGCTGGGCTTCCGGATCTTAATTTGCTTTCTCCCCTGGGGCAGTAAGAGTTTGTGCTACTCTTACTCCCTCTGGTCCTTTCAGAGAAATGTTCATGGCTCTGTGCCTCCATGGACTGTTTTCTCTTCTTTGAACAGATACGTACCCAGGAAGAAAAGGCATCATTTTCAAATAGAGGTATGGTATGAATATTCTCATCTTTTCCAATGACTCGAATGAGTGGTTTACTCTCCTCAGATGTTGAGGGTTTCTAGAGTACAAGAAAAAAGAACCTATCAGAGAGCTGAGTGTGACACAGTGGCATGTAAAGTCATCAGGTGCCATGTCTGAACCTTTAGTTTCCCAAATTCAAAATGCGTATTTGAGGATTTATACATAGAAGGTGAAAGCTCTGGTGGACTAGTGGTCATAACGTGGTCTTCAATCCCAAAGGGATGTGGTTCAAATCCACTACATGCTCCATGTGAGACGGATGGGAAATTTCCTCCCGTGTGATTTATTAACTCTGTAAACTCACTAGAGGGTCAGCTATGAGTCTGTTCCAAATCAATGGCACACACTAACGAAGATATATGTAACAGATTATGTGACATTTATGAGGGTGGGAAGAATGAGTATGAAGTGGGGGTAACTGTGGGGGAAACTGTGAAAATCTATTCTGGATCTCAGGAACTCAGGGCATGCTTGTTGGCTGAGAGCAGCTGGTGGCTCTGAACCACGTGCCTTCAGGAATGCACCACAGCTTCTTGTCACGAGGCCACCAGAGCTCCCTACGGCATGGTGTTTTCATTGTTGAGTGCCACAGAGTCAGAACCAACCCATAGCTGAACCTCCAGAGGGTTTTCAGAGGTAGTTAAATCACATGGGAGGAGACTGACCATCCTTCCTCCGCGGAGCAGCTGGTGGCCTCAAACTGCATGTCTTTGGGATTGCAGCGCAGCTTCTTGCCACTAGCTCCCTAAAGTAACTAATAACTAATAAATAAAATAATCTGTTTTGGCAAGATAGGAATACTATAATTATAGAGAGGTGTCTCAAGGACTATTGGTACCCAGTTAAGGGTCTTGTACTCTCCCTGGACATTAAGGGAAGAAAGAAAGTCCAAACTGGGCAAAGTCCTAGAGGCAGAAAGTTGTCAGCATATTTGGGACCAGGAGTAAGCACAAGGGGAATGCACTTGGCAGGGCTCAACTATGAAAACTCCTGACTAAGCAACTTCAACCATTTTCACACTAGAACACAGAGAAGCCTCAGAGATTCTGAAACAAGAGGGAAAGTATTAGATAAAGCTTTGGCGGCAATGAAGATGAATCAGAGGACTCCAAAAGGCCCAACTGGAGACCTGAGCAAACTCCAGGCAACAGAAGAATGTGAAGCAAGGCAACACGAGAGGAGAAAAAGGTATACCCTTTTAGACATTTAAAAGATATGGTGGCATTTTAGGGAACTATGCTGGCTTTTTTTTTTTTAAAAAAAAAAAAAGGTGACCCAACAGAATGTGGAAACTACAGAACAATCTCACTGATTTCACATGCAAGCAAGATTTTTACTGATGATTATGCAAAAACGACTGGAACAGCACGTCAACAGAGAACTACCAGAAGTCCAGGCTGGGTTTAGAAGGGGTCGTGGTACTAGAGATATTGTAGCTGATGTTAGATGGATCTTGGCTGAAAGCAGGGAATACCAGAGGAATGTCTATCTGTGTTTCATTGACTATGCAAAGGCATTTGACTGTGTAGATCATAACAAACTATGGCTGACTCTGAGAAGAATGGGAATCCCAGAACACTTGATCGTTCTAATGCGAAACTTATACTTGGACCAGGAGGCAGTCGTCAGAACAGAGCAAGAGAACACTGCATGGTTCAAAATTGGGAAGGGCGTACGCCAGGGATGCATCCTGTCTCCATGCCTTTTCAACCTGGATGCAGAACAGATTTATCCGGGAGGCTGGGCTCTATGAGGAGAAATGTGGGGTCAAGATTGGTGGACCATTTATCAACAACCTGCGTTATGCAGATGACACAACCCTGCTTGCTGAAACTGAAGAGGACCTGAAGCGCCTGCTGAAGAGTGTCAAGGACTGCAGCCTACAATATGGATTGAGGCTCAATGTCAAGAAAACAAAAATTCTCACCACTGGACCAATTGGCAGCATCAGGATGGATGGTGAAGAGCTTGAGATTGTACACAGCTTTAGTTTGCTTGGCTCCATAGTCAACAGTCTTGGCACCAGCAGCCAGGAAATGAAAAGGCGCATTGCCATGAGAAAGTCTGCTGTTAGGGACCTCTCCAAAGTACTGAAGAGCAATGGTGTCTCTCTGGAGACTAAGGTGCGTCTGATACAGGCTATGGTCTCAGCAATCACTTGTTATGCATCAGAGAGTTGGACAATGACCAGGGAGGATAAAAGGAGAATTGATGCCTTTGAGCTGTGGTGCTGGAGAAGAGTATTGAGAATACCATGGACTGCTAGGAAAACAAACAGATTTGTCCTGGAAAGGGTTAAACCGGGTGGCTCCTTGGAGGCAAAGATTCTGAGGCTCCGTCTAACATACTTTGGACATGTTGTGAGGAGGGACCGGTCCCTGGAGAGGGATATCATGCTTGGGAGGGTGGAGGGACAGCGCAGGAGAGGAAGGCCCTCTATGAGGTGGATTGATTCAGTGACTGGGATAATTGGGATGGGAGTGTCAGAGACAGTGCGATTGGCGCAGGACAGAGCGGAGTTTAGGGCTGTTGTACATAGGGTCGCTATGAGTCACAAGTGACTCAACGGCACATAACAACAACAACAACATGCTGGCTTAGTGGTAAGAACTTGTGCTGCCAACCTTACTCTGTGGGAGAAATATGGGTAAAAAAAGATGATGGCATTTAGTGATCAAGTTTCCGTCTATTCTGTATATCTTCTTTATGTTGTTGTTGATTGCCTTTGAGTTGAGCATGACTCATAGCAACCCTATGAACAAAAGGCCTGAAGCCCCTCTACAACTATCAACGTATTTCAAAGTTTATAGAGTTTCTGGAGGCATGTTATTTAGGAAGTGGATGTCACTCCTGCTTCCAAATACCAAGCACTAAGTCTGCTATTTTTATTTATGGTCTCATCTCAGTTCTCATTTCTGTAAGATGGGAGCATCACTGTTCTTGCATGACAAATAGGAACTTAAAAGTGCTAAAGAATTTATAACATGTGGCAAATAGGTATGGAGAGAGAAGACAACTATGATGCACTCCTTCCTCCATTTTAAACCATGCAATTTCCCTCTGCTCTGTTCACACAACAGCCTCCTAGTCCAGGTATAGGTTGTGCATGAGCACAATTAATTATTCTTAAGTTGTTGTGTGCTGTCAACTAAGAGCTGACATAAATCCTCCATAATATAAATAGCTAATAAATCCTCCAGGGGATTTTCAGAGGCAGTTAATTGCATGAGAGGAGATAGCCATCCCTCTCCCACAGAGCAGATGGTGGATTTGAACCATGTGTCTTTGAGATAGCATTACAGCTTCTTACCACTAGGCCACCAGTGCTCCCTAACTCTCATCAGTAGTAGATTAAATTTAAAGAGAGAGAGAGAGAGATGGAGAAAGGATGATTAGATTGATGAAGAGGTAAGGTTTGGCAGAGTAAATGTGGGAGGAATAATGGAGCTACAGAGTTGGGGAATTGGTGAAAATTAGACTGAGATAACAGTTAAGTGAGTCTAGCTCCTTAGGGAAGAAATAGAAAAACAAAAGATTTGGAAGAAGAACAGAAGGCAATCAGCAAGAAAAGGAGGAAAAAAGACATTTAATGGAGTGAAAAAATAAGATGTCAGAGGACAGAAAAAAGGTTAAAAATTTGGAAGAATGGAAGGTTTTGATAAGAGGAATATAGGATTTCAGAAATAGTAATTTCAGGATGATAAAGTGAGTAATGTGGGTAAGGCTGAGGTAGAAACTCACTGCTGTCCAGTCAGTCCCTACTCATAGTGACCTTCCATTGAGTTTCTGAGACTACACATCTTAACAGGAGGAGAGTGCTCACCTTTCTCCCATGGAGCCACCATACATTCAAGCTGCTGGATATGCAGCATTTTGCTTAGCAGTGTAACACACTGTGGACTATTCTACCAGAGCTCCTCTATGATGAAGTAAAGTGAGTGTTAAAAAGTGCTAGAATTAGCTCAGGGTTCCCTCGCCGCCATGGCCAGCTCAGACCCTCTCTACCCATCCTCGTCGATCGAGGATGACTTCAACTATGGCAGCTGCGTGGCCTCGGCCAGCGTGCACATCCGAATGGCTTTTCTAAGAAAGGTTTATAGCACCTTTTCTCTGCAAGTTCTCTTGACTACAGTGACATGTTCCGTGTTTTTATACTTTGAGTCTATACGGACATTTGTGCATGAGAGTCCTGCTCTCATTTTGGTGTTTGCCCTTGGATCTTTGGGTATGATTTTCGCATTGACACTGAACAGACATAAGCATCCCCTTAATTTATACCTGCTTTTTGGATTTACACTATTGGAAGCTCTGACTGTGGCCATTGTTGTTACTTTCTATGATGTCTATATTGTTCTACAAGCTTTTACATTGACAACTGCAGTATTTCTTGGCTTGACTGCATACACTCTACAGTCAAAGAAAGATTTTAGCAAATTTGGAGCAGGGCTGTTTACGGTTTTGTGGATTTTGTGCTTGTCAGGATTCTTAAGGTTATTCTTCTATAGCGAGACACTGGAGTTGGTCTTTGCTGCTGGGGGAGCCCTGCTTTTCTGCGGCTTCATCATCTATGACACCCACTCACTGATGCATAGGCTGTCACCTGAAGAGTATATACTGGCAGCCATCAGCCTCTACTTGGATGTCATCAATCTGTTCCTGCATCTGTTGTGTTTATTAGAAGAAGCTAATAAAAAAAAATTGAAAGCAAAAAAAAAAGTGCTAGAATTATAACAGACATTTTTTGTGTTCAATGATGGTAAAGGTAATACTGTCTGTGGATAAAGTCTGCACAACATGACCAAGGTAAATGATGTCACTGAGAAGTACAAAAGGAGCTCTGGTGTTGCCTAGGGATCTCTGGTAGCTTACAGGCAAGGTAGGGCGGTAAGGATGCTTCCAACCCAAAGCCATGTGTTTCAAATCCATCAGCTTCACTGTGAGTGAAAGATAATTAATTTACCCTCCTCTGTGATTTACAAGCTCTAAAACCTTCTGGAGGGTCAACTAGGAATTCCAACTCAACAGTATCTAACAAGAAGAAGTACATAAGAATAAGAGAATTTTTAGTAAATACTCTAACATATAATTTACAACAATAACAAAAAAATGTGTGTGGGTAAGTATATGTGTGGACACACTTCTCACAGACAGAATGAGTTCTAACCACCAGAATGGTTTGAAAAAACTGTCATTATGTTTAAACGGAAGATGACTTATCAGATCACAAATGGAGGATGACTACATCATGATATAGCTGCCAAACCACTGAGGATCACAGCCCAGTCAAGGTGATATATGGCCTTAACCATTACAGTCAGCATTACTCTTTCCGCAAACTTTTACATGTGCTACTGCCAGACATGTTACTAATGTGTAGAATCTCCAGATGGTAGTTTTCCTTTTTTTTTATTAAAAAAAACCCTATTGCCATAAATATGCAGTACCAGAACATAATAGTCACTGACTTAAGATGCTCTTTAAACTTTGAACTGAACCAATTCTTGGAAGTAATTTTTCAGGTAACTGACAGACTGGGCTCATAAAAACGAACAAACAAAAACCCCAGTATTACCAAGAGAATTGAGCTTTTAAAAAAAAATCATCTATATGAGACCAACATTTACAATAATATCTACCTTGGAGGTGTATTGTGTAAACAACTGAAAACATGTACAAAGAAGATGGTTCATGTTGATGTTGTTGTTGTTATTAGGTGCTGTTGAGTATGACCTATGAACACCAGATCTGAATCCCATCCTATTCTTGCCATCTTCACCATCTGATACACCTTAGCCTATTGCTACAGTCACTGTGTCAATCCATCTCAGTGGTGGTAGGCTCTAGATTAGTAGTGGCCACGACTTATCACTATTTTGCGCTCTGGTGGCCTATGGTAAGGAGATGCACTGCTAACTCAAAGGCATGCCGTTTGAATTCACCAGCTGCTCCATGGAAGAAAGATGAACAATCTCCTGTGCAATTTATATAGTTTCTGAAAACCTACCTTGGGGTTGGATATGGATCAGTTCTGACTCAACACTACAAAATAACAGCAATTACTCTTTTGTAATTTTTATCATAAATATCCTTAGACAGGTGGCAATTATTACAAATACCCCAGCAGGGATGGAGATGAGGTAAATGAGGTCCAATATGGTAATGGGAGTAGAAAGGAGGGAGAAGGGAGTTCAAATGGGATCTGAAGAACTACCAGCATGGAGTCTAAATGACTATTTTAAAATTATAGTGATGAAAGAAAAAAGAAACTGTAGTAAGGTCAGAGGTAGATTATGTAGTTAATAGGATTTGTGTGTAAATGAGGCTAAAGAGAAATGGCTGGATTTAGAAAAAGAAAAAGGAACATTCCTTCTGGAAATAGAAAGAAAACCAAACCCAGACCAATTGTGGATGAACCTTTATCAGCAAGCAGTCTATCTAAACCCAAACCTCAAATGGTGGACAGTTTCCAGGGAGCAGCATAACTGAGGGGTGTGACATTCTGAGAAAATTACAGACGAACAGGAGCCCCCTGGCTTCGTCTATTACCAGTTATGTACTGATAGCTCTAGATTCCGTTAGAAGAGGGTAGAAATGTTCTGCAGGGCTTCCAAGGCTGTAGTTTTTATTGGATGGACTACCATATTTTTCTCCCCTGGAGCAACTGGTGAGTGCAAATCACTGGCCATTCTATTAGCAGGGAAACAATGACTGGGCCACCAGGATTCCTGCAAATTTAGTTAAATCTGTACAAGAATCAGAGTGATTCTACTGTGTCAGGATCAGAATTTTGAGGCAGTTCTAAGCATCTAATCTATTTCTATCTTCCACAGTGCCTACATATATTCTTTTTAACAATAAAGATAAATAGTATTAAATAATCTTACCTCTTCTTCTACCTCTTCTTTCTTTATTTCTTGACTTTCTTCCTCATCCTCTTTGAAAGACATTTCTGAGACATGTTCAGCGAATTCTCTTGCAAAGTGCTGTGAGATAAACCAACATAATTTTAGTTTTCATTATATTAGAATAATTCACTAAAATATTTAAAAAGCACTAATATAATAACTATACATAGGGTTTTCAGAGGCCTGCCATTTCAGAAGTGGATAGCCAATCCTTCTTCCTAGTCTGTCTTAATCTGAATGTTTAGATTTAGAGGAGTATCTGACAGACAGCAATTTGTGGAGTAGTGAAAGATAAATCCATCATTTTGGAGTTGACCATTAGTTACAGTGTAATCCCTGCCCTTAGCCCAGTGCGTTGACCCACTTATTTCCCAGCTCCACCCTCTAGCAGTATACCACTTCAGTTCTACCAAATGCCTTCAAAATTAATTAATCTCCCATTGTCTGACCCATGACTGGAGAAGAGTATTGAATGTACCATGGACTGCCAAGAAAACAAACAGATTCATCGTAGAGAGGATTAAACCAGGCTGCTCCTTGGAGGCAAGGATTCTGGGGCTTTGTCTGACATACTTTGGACATGTTGTAAGGAGAGACAGGTCTTTGGAGAGGGACATCATGCTGGGTAGAGTAGAGGGACAGCCCAGGAGGGGAAGACCCTCTAGCAGGTGGATTGATTCAGTGACTGGGGTCCTCGGGATGGGTTTGTCAGAGGCAATGAGATTGGCACAGGATAGAGCACGGTTTAGGGCTGTTGTACATAGGGTCGCTATGAGTCGCAAACGACTCGACAGCACATAACAACAACAATATAATTACTGGGAACTATGCTAGTAAGACTATAGAAGTTAGTGAGAGTAGTCTCTGTCCTTAAGATGCTTATAATTTAGTGAACAACAAAAGTGCTATGAGTACTTATGTTGTTGTCATTGAGTTGATGTTAACTCAATGACCCTGTTAAGAACAGATCTAAGCTTTGCCCTATCCTGTACCATCCTTATAATCTCTGTCACGCTGAGGCCCATGGTGCTAGTCATGGTGTCAATTTATCTCTTTGAAAGTTTTCTCCACCTTTCCAACATGATGCCTTTTTTCAAGAACTGGCCTCTCCTAAAAATATGCCCAAAGTATGTGAGAGAAAGTTTCACCACCATAACCTCTAATGAGCACCCTACTTACAACTCCCCAAAGACAGTCACCTAGAAAGAAAACCTTATCCAGACCTGGAGTGGGTAAGGGTGGAAAAAAGGAGTTGGCTTGCCAGAAATGTTTCCAAGAAAAAATAAAAGCTTATTTTTTCCCTTTGTTTTGGCTTCTCAACACTCTTGTATAATTTTCAGACTCTCATCTGGCATCCATTTCAGTTTTTTATTTCTCCTCTGTCTTTGTAATGACCTTCTGCTCTCTTCATGAATGGTATCTTTGACTTCATCCCACAATTCATCCAATCTTTGATCACTGGTGTTCAATGCCTCAAACCTAAGATGATCTTAAAATTCATCTGGAATAGATTCAATATCATATCTTGGTTCTTGTGGACTTATTTTCATTACCTTCAGCCTCAATTTGAACTTGCATACGAGTAACTGATGGTCTGACCCACAGTCCTCCCCTAGCCTGGTTTTGACTGCTAATACTGAACTTCTCCAATGATTTCTTCTACAGATTTGGTCAATCTGATTCCTATGCAGGCCATCAGGTGAGATCCACGTATAAAGTAATTGTGTCTTTTTAAAAAGGTATTTACAATGAATAAATGATTGATTTATAAAGACCCTCAGCCAAGTGGATTGACATAGTGACTGCCTCAGTGGGCTCTGGTGTGTCAAGAAGTGTGAAGATAGAAGAGGACAGGACAAGGTTCAAATAAATCCTCTGTTCATAAGGTCACTATAAGCCATATTTGACTTGATAAAACCTAACAACAACAAGGAAGGGGGGGGAGGCCCTAGAAATTGACAGTAAACAAATTGACATATTTAAAAAAACAAATGCTGCCCTACATGCACTCACTAAGTTGTCCCAAGAAATCTGGAGGACCACCACCTGGTTGACTGACTGGAAAAGATCTATATTTGTTCCCATTCCAAATAATGGTGACCTGACAGAGTGAGGAAATTATCGAACAATATCATTAATATCACATTTAAGCAAGATTCTGCTGAAAATTATAAGGAACCGACTGGAACAGCACATCAACAGAAAACTACTAGATGTGTGGGCTGGGTTTAGAAGAGGCCATGGTATTAGGGGTATTACAATTAATGTCAGATGGATCTTGGCTGAAAGCAGAGAATATCAGGGGAATATCTTTCTGTGTTTCACTGACTATGCAAAGACAGTTAACTATATGGATCACAACAAACTGTGGCTAGCTTTGAGAAGAATGGGAATCCCAGAATACTTAATTGTGCTTATGTGAAACCTATACTTGGACCAGGAGGCAGTTGTCTGAACAGACAAGGACAAACTGCATGGTTTAAAATTGGGAAGGGTGTATGCCAAGGAAGTATCCTGCCTCCATTTTTTTTTTTAGGGATTCCAGTCATTCATTGTTGCACTTTTCTCCCTGTCCACCCTCTCCCCCATCTCCATTTCCCCCCCCAATCTATATGCAAAACAGATCACCTGGGAGGCTTGGGATGTATGAGGAGGAATGTGGCATCAGGATTGGAAGAAGACTTCTCAAAAACTTGCATTATGCAGATAACACAAAACTGCTTGATGAAACTGAGGAGGAGCTGAAGTGCTTGCTGCAGAAGATCAAGGACTGCGCAGCCTTCAATATGGATTGAAGCTCAATATTAAGAAGACAAAGATTCTCACCACTGGACCAATTGGCAGCATCAGGATGGATGGTGAAGAGATTGAGATTGTTAACAGCTTTAGTTTGCTTGGCTCCACAGTCAACACTCTTGGAACCAGCAGCTTGGAAATGAAGATTAATTGCATTGGGAAAATCAGCTGTCAGGGACCTCTCCAGAGTGCTGAAGAGCAATGATGTGAAGTCTGGAGACTAAGGTGTGCCTGGTTCAGGTCATAGTCTTTGCAATTGCTTGCTATGCATCAGAGAGCTGAATAATGACTAGGGATGATAGAAAGAGAATTGATGCCTTTGAGCTGTGATGCTGGGTAAGAGTGTTGAATATACCATAGACTGCTAGGAAATCAAACAGGTTTGTCCTGGAGAGGGTGAAATCAGGGTGCTCCTTGGAGGCAAAGATTCTGAAGCTCCGTCTGAAACACTTTGGGCATGTTGCAAAGAGGGACCAGTCCTTGGAGAGGGACATCATGCTTGGGAGGGTGGAGGGACAGCGCAAGAGAGGAAGACCCTCGATGAGATGGTTTGACTTAGTGACTGGAGTAATGGGAGTGTGTCAGAGACAATAGATTGGCTCAGAATAGAGCAAGGTTTAGAGCTGTTATATATAGGGTCGCTATGAGTCACAGGCAACTAGGCGGCACATAACAAAATCATCAACAACATCAGTAGATATAATAATTTTATTTTTCCCTTAGTTTTTAAAAATTTATTGGTTTGCACACAAAATTCATATACACTGTGTCTCACATTCCTCTATTCACATTTTGTGTCATACAATCATTTTCATACACTGTATTAATCACCATTGATTTATGTTCTCTATTACTCTATCTTTTCAGGTCCCCACTGGATCTTTACTAATTCCTCTCCCCTTCCCTCCACCCTACAAACTGTGTCCCCATGATTTCCCTCCCTTTTCCCCTTCCCCCCTCAGCTGCCTTGCCCTCTTTACCTTCTCCCCCCTCCCCAGATTTATATACACATCTTACTAGTTATCCTTCTATTTTTACAATAATAGCTTTATGCAGTATTTTGTCTTTATGAGACTGAGTTAGTTCACTCAGCATAATGCTATCTAGCCTTTCTGATGTTATATAGTATTTTTCCAACTTGTTGTTCCTGAGTGTTACATAGTAATCCATTGTGTGGATATACCACAATTTCTCAATCCATTTGTTTGTTGATGGATATCTGGGCTATTACTACATTCTCACTATTGTGAATAACACTACTCTGAACATCGGTGTACAAATCTTTCTTGTGTCTCTGTTTTAGTTTCCTTGGGATATATTCCTAGCAATGGAACAGCTAGGGCATATGGAATTTCTATGTTCAGCTTTACAGAAAAACACCAATCTGCCTTCAAGAGACTGTACCATTTTATAATCCCACCAACAATGTATGAGAGTTCCAATTTCTTTACATCCTTTCCAAGATTTATTGTTTTCTGTCCTGTTAAATTTCCCCACTGCTACGGTACCTTACTGCGGTTTTGGTTTGCATCTCTCTTGTTGCCAGTGATTTTGAGCTTTTCTTTTTGTATCTGTTGGCCATCTGAATGTCTTCTTCTGTGAAAAGTCTTTCCACGTCTTTTTCGCATTTTTAAATTGGGTTATTGGTCTTTTTTCTTGTGAAGGCCCTATTGTTGTTGGTAAGTGCTACCAAGCTGAGTATGATCCACAGCAATCCTCTGAACAACAGACCAAAATCCTGTCTTATCCTGGGCCATCCTCATACTTCTTGACACACTAGAGCCCACTGTGGCAGTCACTGTGTCAATTCCCCTGGCCGAGGGTTTTTCTTTCCTTTGCCGATCCCTCTGCCTTTTCAAGCATAATATTGCTTTCCAAGGAATGGCTTCTCTTAGCAATATGCTCAAAGTATGTAAGATGAAGTTTTATCACCTTTGCCTCAAAGGAGAACTCTAGCTGCAGTTTCTCCAAGACACATTTGTTTGTTCTTTTGGCAGTCCATGGGATGTTCAGTACTCTTCTCCAACACCACAACTCAAAGGCATCAATTATTCTTCTGTCATCCTTATTCACTACCCAGATTTCAGATGCATAGGAAGTGATTGGAAAGATCATAGCCAGAACCAGACACACATTAGTACTTAAACTGACATAATTGTTCCTTCTCAATAATTTGGAGTGGTCCTTGACTACAGACTTGTCCAGTGCAATATGTCCCCTGATTTCCTGATTGTTGGTAGCAACAGTGTTGACTGTGGATCCAAATAAGGTGAAGTTGGTGG